AAGAATTTCTGCATTTTTCCCAAATTTCCCCAATTCTTTCATCAGTCAGGATTTTTCCCATAACCTGCTTCACATCTTCAATGCCTGCCTGCCCTATCAGATCACTAAGACTCATATTATCATATAGCACATCCATATTTCCTGAAGCCACTGGTATTGAAGTAGAAAATAACATGAAAAACAAGGACACTGGTAGAATTGCTATAACCAGAACCATCTGTAACATTGCCAAATTCATATGAAAATGCCATAGAAGTGGTCCTTGGGGCATATAGGTGTTTTCTCCTTGACCCTCAAGGTACACACTCCTTAGCTGCCACTGAGTTGCTGAAGGGAGTTTCTTCCTACATCTCAGGAACCACATTTGGAGAGGGCTATGCTTTGTGGTTTCTAGCACATATATTTCTGGGGAAAATATTTGAAGGTATATAAAGAACAATCACTGACCATTCAGATTGTACAAAAACAAAGCACAACAGCTGCTGATATTTCAAAGGCACCAACAGCCCTACCTTTAAAATGGTTAACAGATAAACATCTATGGATATGGGATTCTTCTCTGCATTCTGTGAATATCATTGGTATACATAATAAAGAAACTGGGTTGGCCTGATAGGGTAGAGTAGAGCTAGGCAGAAAAACTAAACTGAAGCTGGGAGGAAGAAGGCACAGAGAAGCCATGGAGCTGCCACTGGAGACAGACATGCTGGAACTTTGCCAGTAGGCCACAAGCCTCATGGTAAAATATAAAATTATGGAAATGGATTAAATTAAGATGTTAAAGTCTAGCCAATAAGAAGTTAGAGCTAATAGGCCAAGCAGTGATTTAATTAATAGAGTTTCTGTGTGATTATTTCGGGGCTGAGCAGTTGGGAACAAACAAGTGACCCACTACAACAATCTATGGGTTAACAAATGCCGGATCGTTCCTCACATTGTATAGGAAATATGAATATTTGGAGCCCCTACATTCTACACTGATACAAATAATCAGAAAAAGCAGGTCACATATCAGAAAATTTAACTAATACTATCTAAGCACTTATTATTCTATCCAAAAACCAGAATTATACACTATTTTCATGATACTAATGAATTTAAAGAAACCTTTCAACATAGTTTCTGATTTGCAATCTGCAGAGTTGTTTTGTCTATTGAAATCACAGAATTTATATTAGATGATACAGAATTGACTTTATTATTTACTCAATTATAAGATATAATAAATATAATGGGAATCATCCAATACACAAAATTTACATCCAATCCCATAAATGTCTGCCAGGTCCTCTAGCACAAGGTAAGGCAGAAATTGATCAGTTGTTGATTAGAAATGTACTGGGGGCTTCAGAATTTCATAAAATTCATAATAAAAAGTAAAGGATTAAAAATACTTTTCCAGATGCTGCAGCTGCACACAGTAAACCAAGAGGTAAGTGATAAGCCAGCCAGTGGAAAACCCTACTCTCTAGGCCCTCAGAACTGGGGTCAAACCCAGGGCTTGTCCCCTATCTACTACAACTTCACTAACCAGCTAGTAGTCAAGCTTTTCTGCAGGTAGACTGCTACAAAACTTCTTCATTGATCAGTCCTGTAAGTTACAATGCCAACTCCACCCTCAAACCCACCCATCCTACCTCTACTCTGCCCTATCAGGCCAAGCCAGTTTCTTTATTCATTAACCAATAAAAACAATACATAGACAGAAGGACCTCCCATATCATGGGAGACACTGTGGGCATATAGGGTGAAGATGGGTACCCCAATGTTACAGAAGAACTTTGGGTGACTGTCCAGGCAGCAAGATGTCTCTGTCAATTCTAGAGTTTGGGAAATTGCTTTACAATGCACTTCCTGTTTACTTAGGTAATATTATATCCTTCTGGAGTAGTCTTTGATGGAGTTTAATAATAGGTAGTTATAATAATAGTGTTCCTTACTTATGATAAAAGATAAAGTAAATATAAATATTATAACTATAATTCTTGCTTGATAACTATCTTGTTATATGTAATTTTACTATGTTAAAAGTTAAAACCTTCCTTTTTATTTAGACAGAAAAAGGAAGATAATGTGGGATTTCCATCTGTATGCTATGAATATGTTTTATTGCCGTTGGATAATAATGAAGCTGCTTTTGGAAATGGCTTAACAGAATATAGTCAGGCTGGAAAAGATATAGAGAGAATAGGCGGAGTCACAGAGATATCATGTTTCTGCCACAGGAGACAGACACCAGATGTCGAATAGAATCTTACAGTAGGCCACAACCACATGATGGTACACAGATTAATAGATATGGGTTAATTTAAGATGTAAGAGCTAGCTAGAAATATGCTTAAGTTATTGGTCAAACATTATCAGAATTAATATAGTTTCTGTGTGATTTTTTTTTTGATCTGGGCAGCCAGAAACAAATGAGCAGTCTCAGCCCACAACCCCAACAATGTTTATACCAGGACTTTGATAACATCACTAAACTTACAAACACCAACTAAATATTGGCTTCAGACTACAAACTGTTCAGGACAATTTCAAGGTAGCTAGCTGAGATGATTCAGCCTTACAGACAATTCTAGTCAAAATTTTAGAAAATCCCTGTACTTTCCCATTATGTAGAGACTGGACTGGACAACAAATGATACAGCTACCTCTCCAAGGACTTGATAATTATCACAAATTTTTCTTTTCAGGATCCCCTAAAGATGCCATCACTCCCAGACAGCAGGAAGTAAATTTAAAAATACAACATCCACATTCCCAAAAGGTGGGGTGGGTATTTTTTGATCATTCAATGGGTTATGGATATTTATCATTGAGAGCTGGTTACAAGTTGTTACTGGTTATTGTCAGGAAGAAAGTTGAGCAAAGGAGATTACATTCAGAGTTTATGTTTTGGAAAAAAAGGGGGGGTAAAGATATGATAGAATATAGGTGTGTATTATTAAATCTACTCTGAAAAGAAATAAGAGGTAATATGTAAATAGAATTAAAAGGTAGATTATTGAATTTACTTTTAAATCAAAAAAGCAATTACTGCCGGGCGGTGGTGGCGCATGCCTTTAATCCCAGTACTCAGGAGGCAGAGGCAGGTGGATCTCTGTGAATTCGAGGCCAGCCTGGACTACAAGAGCTAGTTCCAGGACAGGAACCAAAAGCTACAGAGAAACTCTGTCTCAAAAATAAAAAAAAAAAAAGCAATTACTAGTTTTAAATATTTTACATTGGCTTGGATTTTTTGTATATTGATACAAAGTTCAGATTATTTTTGTTAGAATATACTGTACATACGTTTATAATCTTGTTCAAGGTACAGTACCTATGCAGCTCATTTAACAATGTAATGTAAATTTCTATCCCTTGAAAGTCATTATTACCAACTATTTGGAATAATAAAGAAATGTAGGTTAGCAATTAGTTACCTGTTACAATTGAGCTTGAAGTCCTATTAGGTATGTTTTCAAGTTCAAACATATATTTTAGATAGACAGGTTGTCTTCAAACACATCAGAGGTTTACAGACTATGGCATTTAATATGTTTTAATAACATAGGTTCTTTTCTTTTTATAACAATGAGACATGTCTGCTCTTAGCAACATAAATCTACTTCAGAAAAGATGATGAGCATCAAAGAAATGTTACATGGAGTTTACTTTCTTTGTGGCAGATGAAAATGCCACAACTACTGTGAGTATGCTGTAAAAGTTGGACAAGCAGGACACAAAGAAAGGATTTCTAAACTTTAACAAGACAAGATAGGACAATCCTTCAGAATATCCTTCTTCACAGAAAAATCTGTCGGAAATGCTAGGACTACAATGGCACTGGGGTTTTGATCATACTGCACATACTGGCTTTGTGGGAGCCTAGGCTATTCGGATGCTCACCTTACTAGACCTGGAAAGAGGTGGGAGGTCCTTGGACTTCCCACAGGGCAGGGAACCCTGATTGCTCTTTGGGCTGATGAGGGAGGGGGAGTTGATTGGAAAAAGGGGAGGGAAATGGGAGGCGAGGGCAGGGAGGAGGCAGAAATCTTTAATAAATAAATAAATAAATAAAAATAAAAAAAATGCTAGGACTATAAGCCTAAAAGATGCCCCAACAATGCAGAAGAACTTTGGGTGACTGTCCAGATAGTCAGCTGTTTCTGTCATTTCTTACATTTTTTGGAAGTCATTTGCTTATACTTCCTGCTTACTCAAGTAATATCATTTCCTTCTCGGGTCTCTAATAGAGTTGAAGACTTTATAGTTATAATTATAGTTTACCTTGTTACTAGATTTATAAAATAAATTTACTAAAGAAATTTAAAGTGTATAAGGTTAAAAGACATAAAAAGATAGTTTTGGCAATACAAGTTAGAATAGAAAATAAATTAGGTTCATTTTTTGGACTCACCAAGATAGGATAGATATATTTTATAAATTTGTCAATTGTTAATGGACTAGATGTTGTTGATGTATTTATTGTCTGTATATATTATATATAGTTATTGATATTATTGTATATAGTTTTTCTTATATTAGCTATAACCTACTTTTTAAATTTTTAGACAAAAAAAAATGTGGCAATATCTTGCTTGTACAAATAAAGTTTGCCTGAAGAACAAAAGGCAGAGCTAGCCACTAGCTAACCATAGAGGAATGGAGGTCTGTACAAACAGAAAGTGATATGGCTGGGAGGAGAGAGGAAATTGTAGGACATAAGGAGACAGGAGCTCAGTCTCTTTTTGGCTGTGAAGTTGAGTAGGTAAGGTGGTTTTGCTCCTTCATCTCTCTGAACTCCCACAATATCTGGCTCTGGGCTTTTATTAAGACCTATTAGAACTCGTGCTACACTCCATCACACTCACTTCCCATTCCTCTCTGGTCCACACCCCATCCCTAAGCCCCTCCCCTAAAAAACACACCAAGTCCAATTTATGTTCCCTATACACTCAATGGAGCTTGGTAAAATTCCCAGTGCCCCAACCTTTAAACAAGACTGAGTGCTTCCTCACCTCTGCCAGAGATCATCAACTCTGAAGAACTATACTTCAGCATTTTTATCACAGTTTTCAAGGACTCTTTTCAATAGCTTCTTGTCTGAGCTGTTTCTTTTAGGTAGAGATGTCACAAAAGACTTCCGTGTCTCTCGTCCTCAGTTATGAATCTGCAGTCATCTATACCATTGATTACTTGCCCCTAGCGCTCAGCAGCAGCACGTATCATATACTTCTACATGATTTCTGGCAGCAGCATGGATCACGGCTTCAACATTGCTTCTAGCTGGCATCTTTCTGTTCATCATATAAGGAGAAATAACAAATCACAAAGATCAATATTCAAAACATGATATTACCCAGCTACAAACACTGCAACCTACAACAGCAACCTGTCTGAAAGACATACTCATGCAATACTAGGACAGATGTGGGATTAACCAAACACTTTCTCTTAGATTTAAAGGGAAATGTCAATCACCAATGCCAACCCCTGAGAATGCAAATGCAAGATCTGTGAGGCTGCACAGTCTACAGTGTCCCTGGCAAGAATATACGCTGCATGTGTGAACTCTCCTCAAACCCCCACAGCACTGTTGTGTGCCTGCCTATCTGCTCTAATAGATCTCTTTCTTAAATAACAGTCTGCCTCAGCACCCCTCTTTTTATAAAGTTGCAGATCCCACGAAGAGGCTGGTAGAAGGGGATTGCTCATTGGGGATCGCTACCCTTGCATTGCTTCCTTCATGCCAAAAACTGGTTCCATGTTCCACTGGTGAAGGAAGTTAGTTCACCAAAAAGAGCTACCCTGAGATTATTTTAGTGAGATGTAAAATGAGACATATTCTAGTGATATGTATAAGACCAAGAGTATGGGGTTGCAAAAGGAAGAAGTTTACAACTGGTTAAGAAGCTTAGAATGACATCTCCCCAGAGGAAAAGTATCAGAACTGGGATTTGGTACATAGATGTGGGGGAAGTTGGAGATATTTTCTCCAAGATATTAGAAGTGAAGTGGGCATTTATCTGAGTGATTAAAACTGGGAATAAACTATGAGTTTATAAGTAATTGAAATGTTTTCCAGTTGAGAATATGGTTGGGTTAGAAAGAAACTGTAGAAATTACAACATATGGAAGGTTGAAATGCTCTGTGAAACCTCAAATAATTCATTAGGAGAATTTTTTTAACAGATTCTTGTGAGATTTATGGCTGAATAGTTTTTATTTGAATATGAGAATACTTTTACCTCCACACTTACTTTAGGAGATGAATTCAGACAGAGACTGTCACCAGAGGAGATTCCTCCTTGCTTCTTACCAGCATTTGGTCTGGCTATTTGCACAGCTGTGGTCTTAAGTGGCCTTGGGGACCCAGTCAGCTCCAGGATAGCTGGAGTGAAGCAGTGCTTTCCTTTAATCCTGACTTCACTGTACATAAGATGCCAGTCTCCAGAAACCCCAGAACTGAGGACTGGGGAAGCTCTCACAATGCTCAGAAGAAAACAGAAAAAATGACTATGCCACCAAGTATTCTACTTCAGAGTTTCAAAAGGAGTATTAATTTGGAAAGTGACAACAAAAGAAAAATTAAAAGCAAAAGGAAAGCATAGAAAAAATAGCTTGCAAAAACATTGATTAATTGTTGAAATATGAGCGGCGGGGCTGCGTCCCCAACACCCCGGCCGCTTGGCTAGCTCATGCCCAAAATAACAACACACAAACTGTATTCATTTAAAGAACTGCTTGGCCCATGAACTCTATCCCTTACAGGCTAATTCTCGCTCCTGGACTAGCCCATTTCTAATAATGTTTGTAAGCACTCCAAGGTGCGCTTACCGGGAAGATTCTAGCCTAAGTCCATCGTGGGTTGGAGTTGCCTGGGAGAGCTGAGCATGGCGTCTCTGCAGGAGCAGAGCAGAGTCTGACCTCACTTCCTCTTCCGCCCAGAATTCTATTCTGTTTACTCCTCCCATCTATGTTCCAAGCTGAGGCCAAGCAGTTGGTTTATTATAACTTAACCAATGAAATCAACAGATTGATATATGACACTCCCACATCAATTAATAAAAAGACATATTAAAAAAGTAATACTACTTTTACTTGTGGTTATATAAAAAAGCATTTCTTGGAAAAGGACTCTTACTGAGAATTGAAACTGAAAGTCTCCATTCAGTAGTGGAACAGGGCTGACCTAAAACATAAGAGGAAAGTATTAGCTGAAGTTCCTGGGTTCAGAGGAGGCTAATACTACATTAAGCTTTCTACAACTCTGATTGATGGAAACTATAATTATTTTTTAGAGTTAGAATGCCATATATCAAGGTATCTTGAGCTATCTTGGGCCCCAAATAGCCATTTTTGTCCACTTCTGTATTTGAATTAACAACTGTGTAACTATGAGATAAGTATTTCATAAAATACAAACAAACCCCTACCTTCTACCAACCCAAAGGTTACGAATGTCATCAGATAGGATCTGAGTTCCAAAGAACAGATTTCGTCACTTTGATGTAAGTTTGCCTCATTCATGCTTTGGCAAATGTGATGGAAAATGTTAGGAGAAATTAGAAAAGTAGACCCAGCCACTCAAGTGGCGCTTGGAAGTATGCAGAATGGGATGACATTTAGGAAGGTGCTTATGAGATAAAAGTTGGAAGCAGACCTAATGAGACATAAGTCTACCACACATCAAGAAATGAGGGAGGTTCTAGAAAGAGGGCTGTGTAGTAGGCCTGCATTACAATGGGTTTGCAGGGGACAAGGCTAAGGGAATTCTCAAGAATACATCATAAGTGAAGGAAAGCAATTGGGGGAAAGAACTGGTCAAAACACCTTGAGTTGACTCATTATTTTAGCTAACTGATGTTTGAGGAGAGTATTGGCATGTTCTTCCTTTCCTGAGGACTGTGGTCTGAATGGAGATACGAAAAGAATACTCAGTACCTGAGATAGGAATGAGATGTTGAGTTTTCTGAGAAACAAAATCAGGTCTTCTCTCATATTATAAATACCTGGAGCCAGGCCAAAATGAGGAGTGATGTAAGATAGACTGAGAGTAACCTCTTTCTTGTGTTTGCTCAGATTGGTAGAGAAGCTAATAATCAACCTGAGAATGTTTACCAGTGTGAAAAGGTAGCAGAGTCACTAAGAAGGTGGAAGTCAGGTTTTCAGATGATGTCAAGCATGGTGGACTGGGAATGGAGGTGGTCTGAGAGTTCCTTGGTGACATCGTAAGAGCAGATAGTACATTATAGGGTGATGATATGGAGAGTTTTTTATAAGGGGAGGGAGAAAAGTTTTGAGTAAGGTGAGAAAACACTGTTATCCCGTGTGGAACTTATCATGTAATATGGAAGGGGAACTGGCTTGGAGCAGAAAGGGAATAAGATAATAAGATAGTCTGAAAATAGACCAAGCATCTTTGAAGATGGTTTTGCTTTTTTTCTAGGTGGAAAACTCATGATGAAGTTAAATAGGTTAAAGTGAGACAAGGAATAGAAGAAGGAGTTCATTAATAGAGGTGGAGACAGGCTGCAGGTGTGTTTGTTCAGAGTTAGAAGAAAATGCAGTAGAGGTCAGTGCTTCCAGTTTAGTGATACCATTAGCTCCAGTGTCGCCTTTGGCTCTCTGCTCAGAAATGTCATGGTAGCATTAGATGACAACGTAAGATGTAAGTGCTTGTGGGTTAGCTTGCTTTTACTTAGAGGAGTTTGCTGTGAGGTGAGAATCTTCACTTTCTTTTTTTTTATTATTCCTTCTTAACAAAGATATTTTAATCTCTTCAAAATAAAGCCATTAAACACATATCAATGTATCAATGTGATGGAAAAATATTTTAAATTTTGTCTCGTTCCATGTCATAAATTTTAAAGCACATAGAAATCCCATTATTTAAAATTATTAAAATCAACACATAATTAAATAATTCTTTTAGATATTTTATTCATATTAGCAAATATTTTTAATTTATGCATAGTTGCATTTTTGATTTCCCATTCTGTATGATTGGGAAAGCAGGACAATATTTTGTTTGGAGAATATCATTGTTAATCTTTCAAATAATAAGCATCTCAATAAATATAGCCTAACCTTGTGCTAGCATCAGTTTGAATGTTGTTTCTCTTTTATCTTTACAAGAATGATTTCAAAATAAAAATACAAATATTATTAACTTTTCTACAGCTATATTTACCAGAATTCATCTTCACATATAAATCTGTGCTATTGGAAAGTTTTGTTTAACTCCTTTATTGTGAAATAAGAAAAAATTAAGTTTGAGAATAAAAGTCTAAATCATAGCCAGCCAATGGTGGTGCGTGTCTTTAATCCATCACTCGGGAGTCAGAGGCAGGCAGATCTCTGTGAGTTCAAGGGCACTCTGGTCGGCAAGAGCTAGTTCCAGTACAGCTAAGACTGTTATACAGAGAAACCCTGTCAAAAAAAATGGCATCATGATCTTAAGGGAAAAGAAAGCTGTTCACCACAAGATACGTGGCCCATACATTCTTTACAAGAAAAATAAAATGCATTAATATATTAAAATAAGTAGAACTAAGTTTGAATAAACTGATAGACTCCATATATAAAAAGAATGAAAACAATAAATAGAAGTTAAGTCAGTAATTATGGGTGGTGTACACATGCTGCAATATCATATACTTGTTAATTCATTTCCACAAACACATATGAATTCATTCACATATTATAATTTACCTTTACACCAGATGCCATAGAATCTCTTTTTCATCAAGTTAATAACAATCATTTCTAGGATAATAACTATCTATGTATTAATAGCAATTGCATATGATATCAAGTATCATGTTGATGTAACCTCAAAGTTGAATAAATTAAAACTTGACAGTGGAGAATGTTCATGGCCAGTGCTGACATTAACCTTTAGGTTTTAGGCTTGTGGAAAGTCAAAATATTCTGCCTATTGTGAAGTGGCATGCAGACTTCTATGATGGTGTTATCTGTGACAATGACATAGCCTTCATCTGGATGCAATTCTTTCTTTAGGGCCTGGGATCTCTAAAGCAGAAGGGGACAGTGTAATGGCATAAGCGAATGCAGACAGATTGTCAAAATATAGACAGCTTTAATGGAGGAATAGACTTACAGAACCACCGTTCCAGCAGAGACCAGGAAAGCAGAAGCGAGGGCTGGGAGCACCCTCGCCAAATTTATAGGCAAACTTTAGCCTGAGGCGAACACACCCCCTAAGGGGTGGGACTTATCCCTACAGGACAGAAGGCCTCTTTGAGCTTAGGTCATAAAAGTTCAGTAAGTTGGAAGAGGTCTTTAAGGAACCATGAATACCTTGGGAAAGAATTTTAGCTAAGACCCCACAACTTGGGATCCAAATACAAAAAGATCCCAGAAAGGAGAGATCACATTTGTTCTGGGAGCATGGAAAATATGTCCTTCTTTAAAGCTTTTCAGCTTTGATGCATGTTGGATGAAGAGAGTTAGAGTCCATCTAATGTGAGGCTTTTTCTTCCTTACAGCTAATGTCTGATATGACAGTCAGTCTAGTTTTACTACTTGACTGGAGCCGGAATCAGCTAAAAGAGAAACTACTGAGCACTCTTGTAAAGGACTGTCTTAAACAGATTATTTGAATTGTGAAAGTCAACCTGAAATATGGTCACTACAAACACATATAAAATAAAGGTAGAAAAGGAAACTTTGCTTTTACCTCTTTATGTTTATGCTTGTTGACAAGTTCATCTATTCTGTTGCTGCCGCTACTACATTTTCTCACTAGTATAAGAACCAGCTTCCTCAAGATTTCAGCATAAACTGAAGATTCTAGGAATCATCTAAGCCTTCAGGGCCTGATTGGGATGGCTGGGATATCCAGCCTTGTGAAGTGAGGAACTACTAGATTCTTGGTGTCTCTGGCATGAGACAGACATTTTTTTAAATAAATTTTATTTATTTATTTATTTATTTAGTTATTTAGTTATTTAGTTATTTATTATGTATACAGTGCTCTGCCCACATGTATTTCTGCAGGCCAGAAGAGGTCACCAAATCTCATTACAGATGGTTGTGAGCCACCATGTGGATGCTGGGAATTGAACTCAGGACCTTTGGAAGAGCAGGCAGAGCTCTTAACCACTGAGCCCTCTCCACAGCCCCGAGACAGACATTTTTGAACTGTCCAGATAATGTCATGCAAGCTATTACAAAAAATTACCATTCTATAAATATTCCTGCTATTAGTTAAGTTCTATTACTGACTAATATGCATGATATCCCTGATCAGCGAGAGATTAAAGAGGAGAGAGTATGTGCTGAGATGGTTCATGGTATACACATGACATAAACTACCCAAAAGATTATAAGATCATGAAGACATGATTGTCCCCTCTCTTAACACTGAATGCAAGGACTGGAGAGATGGCTGTTGAAGACCAGCTTTGACAAAAATACCACTTACCAGAGTAGGGGCATGGGAATTAGAAAATAAGTAAAGAATATAAAGATGGGAGTGAAAATAATAAAACAGAAACATAGGATACTATCTGGAGGGAGTTCCAATGAATACTGAAATCCACCTGCATTGAATTTTCCATACACTTTTATACCCCAATACAACAGGGGGAAGAAAACAAAAGACTGCTTTAACATGATCCGCAGGGCAACTAGAACAGTTACATGCTTCAATACTTTGAGATATCAAGTCATTAGCATTCTGTGGTTTAGGCAGTGAACCCACCCTAGACAAAGCATCCTGAAAGGAGTTGCTCCTAAGGGCAAACTTTATATTTCAAAAGAAGGTGTGGATGTACGCTTGAATTTCCTGTCCATTGATCAGGGTGGAATGGATCTACCTGGATGGGCCATGTTAATATCATAAGAACCAAATAACCACACCCTAGGTCAGGATGTATATCCCTACTTGTTGTCAACAATTTTGAGGAACCACAAGCTCGCTGACCTTCAGACAAAGTGGAAAAAGGTTCACATTTTGAGCCTCCACAGATGGTTCAGGAGTTAAGAACTATTTGTAATAACTAATCTTGGTTGTCAACTTCCTTTAGGGAACCCTAACTAATACACTGTTCTTACAGAAGACCAGAATGCAGTTCACATCATCTATGTCACACAGGTTACACATGCCTGTATCTCTAGTTCCTGGGGATCTGATGCCCGCTACTGGCCTTTACATGCATCTGTAAGCATGTAGTGTATATAAACTTTTATATACACACATAAATGCACATAAATTAAGAAATTAGTTTTGTTTTTAATGAGTTTAGTTTCCATCTAAATGGACCTGCCAATCATCTAAACAAGAAAATATTCTACCAAAAGCTGTATATCCCAGAAACCTTACAAACTACAAAACACATGGAGATACCCTAAAGTGAAAGGAAGAACAAGAAACCTCAATGATGTGTCTGTGTTTCTGTGTGTGTGTCTGTGTGTGTGTGTATGTGTGTGTATATATGTACACCAAAATTCCCTTCCATGATGCCATTTTAAAAACACTCATTGAGAAGCCTGCCTATTTTTAAGTTCTGACTTGGGAAGCATATTTTTTTTCTCTATCAGTATGTTTAAAACAAAAACTTCTTGCCCTAACCCTGGGCATTCTCACTCTTCTCATGGACCCCCACATATACAGCTGTTCACAATTCCTGAGCCTGTCTGATGTGCATGCATTGTGTGTGTGTGTGTGTGTGTGTGTGCACGCATGCACCCACTTAAGTGGAGGGAGGCACATAAGTGTGTGTGCATACGTGTATGAAGGCCTAATACTGCAATTTGTAGTCTTTAAACACTTTCCACTCCCTATACTAATCAGGGATTCTCACTGAATCTGGAGCTAAACAACTTTGGCAAAGTTAGCTAGGTAGCTCGTTCCTAGCTGTCTCTCTGTCCTGTGGACTGGTATCAGAGACACCCAATGTGCCTACTTGACATTATGTGGAATCTGAGGCTGTGAACACTCATACTCATCTTTGTAGAGCCAGTGCTTTAACCACTGAACCTGCCTGATTTTCTGCCTCTGATTCAGAAAGTATGACTTTCTTATCTAGCTCACTCTTCCTTAAAGCTACTAACATCTCTAGCCTGCCTGTCCTTCTTGGCTTTCGCTCAAACTCCAAAACAATAGATTCTTAATTTTTTTAATGTGTGATTTATAAACTGGACTCTGCAATCCCTAGAGACACAACTAATAATGTAAGCTCCTCCCAGAAAGAAGGAGGAGTTAGAGGACTGCCCTGCTCAAATAGATTCAGCTCCTGACCTCAGAAAAATCACCCTGTCTGCACTGGTGCTGACAGTCTGCAGCCTTGCCTCCTCCAGGAAGGATCACACTCTCCCTGAACTTCTGTCTGGAGCAGCCACCTGGCCTCAAGCAGACAAGTAAGTAGAGGAATAGGTGGGAAGCAGGGTGGACAGATAACACAAAATAGAAATTGATGGAAATGTTAACGGAGCTGTTGGAGACATGGTGATTATGACAACCGTAATTTGGCACTGAATCTAAAGTTCATTGTGAACTGCTCCACTGAAAAGAGGGACAAAGTCAACCCTGTGAAAAACAAACTTTATTGTCTCCAACTTCCATCTACAAGAGTTAGTGATGTGAAAGACATTATGTCACCCAAGAAAAGTAGGAAAACCTCACTGAGCAGTTTTCCTCTTCAAGCACAGAAGTTATTGTTTTCTTACAAGGTTTAGTTAGAGCGGAGACCTTTACTTCCTAGAGCCAGTAGCTGCCATTTTCTCTTCAGACAAACACATTGCTTTTTTACAAGTGACAAGGCAATATGAGTTGAAAGGAGGTGACACCTGTGCCACTCTTTAGACCTTAGCATGCTGTGCAAACAAGATGGGTCACTGAAAGGTGAAAAAAATAACTTGTGATGGAAGGAAACACAACTTTCTGATCTTTCTTGCTGAGGGATAGACCTGGCAGTTGACAGGTTCCAGAGAGGAGGCAAGGAGTAGGTGAGGGAAGAAGTGAGCCAGGCATGGTAGACAGGAGAACCTTGTAACCTAAGTGACTGGCAGTCTGAGTGCTTCTTTATTTACACAGAACTCAGTAAAAAGGGATAGATTTAGGTTGTTCCAAAACATAGATCATATCATTTCTGTCCCCTGACACATGTTTAGCTTCCTCTTGCATTTCTTTTAGTCATCTTTCATAAACCATGACAGGACAGAGTTATCTTTTATAGTAATTCTTTTCTCACCAATCCTATAACCCAATTTCTAGGCAGTTCTTGTAGCTTCAAGGACTCTAAGCAGAAAGAAATACTCCAAGCCAGCCTGGGCAGATTGCCACTTCCCAAGTAATATATTATTAACTTTTTAAACTATCTTTTCTCATTTTAGATGCCAATCCCGGTTCCCACTCCCTCCCTTCCTCCCGCACCCTCCACCTTCCCCCCTATCCCACTCCCAATCCACTCCTCAAAGAGGGCAAGGCTTCCCATGCAGAGTCAATAAAGTCTGGCACATTGCTTTGAGGCAGGACCAAGACCCTCCCCACTACATTTAGGCTGAGCAAGGTATCCCTCGAAAGAGTAGGTTCCAAAAAGCCAGTACAAGCAGTAGGACTAAGTCCTGGTTTCACTGCCAGTAGCCCACATTATTATTACTCTTAGTGTTCAGAGTGCCAGTTGGTAAAAGGCCCAAAAAACATCCTCAGGCCAAAGCTTCTGCAGTTGTAATTCAATTTCTGGCATAATACTATATTTATACTTTATATCTTTATAGAAACTATTCATATGTCTAATCCTATCATTCTTTTGTTCCTTAGTCATATGACATCATAGTGGCTCTGCACAAGCTAACTTTTCTAAAAAGGGACGTCCTGATATTTCATTCTTTTGTCATTTTTCCACACCATTTTTTGCCCACCAATATAAACCTCTGTGTAGGGCAGAGGTAACTCAAGCCAATCTAACTTTTTTCTTGTATATGTAACATAATCACCTGAGTGTATAGCAGAAAGAGACTTGCGATCTGATCTGCTGCCAACTCTTCTAGTCCACTATATCTTGTTGCCCTTTTTAAGTTTACTTTGTTCTGATTTTCTTGTTCCTGAGCAAATACAAAGGCAGATGTTTCAAGAATATCTCAGAGCCTCATGAATGAGGGATCTTTGGCATCTTTGTGTGCCTCATGACCTCCAGGGCACAAGGAAGACTGTCAAGAAGATAAGGATAACTCCCTTAAACATGGGAGGGATAGTGTGCTCAGGACTATCCTGAGGAACTTTAGAAGCAGTACTCCTGCGGGAAGGCATAAATGATTCATAAGAAATTTTCCATCAATCCAGTATCTCCAAGTTGTGCAAATATTGATAGCCCCCCAAGCATGCAACATGGGAAGATCAAAACTAAAAGTTAAAGGTAGTCACAACAGTGATCATGTGACTGCTTTGCTGGATATTTGTCAAGCAGCTGTGCTGGCTTTATGATTTCTGTTCTTCACATCAGATATGGCTGCACCACCTTCTGGGCACTATCTTTCCTCTTTTGACATTGTGAGGGTCCCAGGGATCCAGTTCACATTGTGAGGTCATGTGCAAGGGCTCACTGAACCATATTGCTGACCAGACTAAAATCTTGCTCATGTGGGAGGACAGACATGATGAGGAGGAGGCCAATATGGGGCAGGTGGGTACTTAGAGACTGTTCTCCCTGTGGCCAGAAAACTGACCTAGGAGAAGGAAAGGACGAGTTAGTTATGGCCTGTCTCTGGAGGAGGGTCAGACAGAGTCCAGAAGATGTGAGGGAAAGAAAACTAACAAAAGTTGTCAGAGTTAATATTTGGCTTTTAACAGATCAACAAGAGTAAATCATTCCACTAATCTTTTATGAGGCAATGAACTGAACTGGAATGTTGTTTAATTTTATTCTTTAGAAAAACTATCTTTTTTCATTTTACATACCAATTCCAGTTTCCACTCCCTCCTTTCCTCCCGTTCCATGGAAATACTACCAAAAGCAATCTATAGATTCAATTTAATCCCCCTCAAAATTCCAACACAATTCTTCACAGACCTTTAAAGAACAACACTCAACTTCATATGGAAAAACAAAAAGCCCAGGATAGCCAAAACAATCCTGTACAATAAAGGAACTTCCGGAGACATCACCACCCCTGACATCAAGCTCTATTATAGAGCTACAGTAAGAAAACAGCTTGGTATTGGCATAAAAACAGACAGGTTGACCAATGGAATCGAATTGAAGACACAGATACCAACCCACATACGTATAAACACTTGGTTTTTGACAAAGAAACTAAAATTATGCAATGGAAAAAAAGAAAATATCTTCAACAAATGGTGCTAGTATTGCTGGATGTTAGCATGTCGAAGAATGCAAATAGATTCTTATCTATCTCCATTCACAAATGTACTAAGTCCAAATGTATTAAAGATCTCAATATAAATCTGGCCACACCAAACCTGATAGAAGAGAAAGTAGGAAGTAGTCTTCAATGCATGGGCACAGGAGACAACTTCCTAAATATAACCCCAGTAGCATAAACCCTGAGAGCAACAATAAATAAATGGGACATACTGAAACTGAGAAGCTTCTCTAAAGCAAAGAACATGGTCAATAGGGCAAAAAGGCAGCCTGCAGAATGGGAAAAGATCTTCACCAACCCCACATCAGACTGAACTGGAATCTTAGTGGCCTGTGTCTGGCCTGTCTTCAGTTAAAAGGAGAGGGGGAGAAAAAGGTCTCATCTAACTCTTACATAATTCTTCATCCAGTATTTTATACTTTTAATTCACACAGGAAGATGGTCATCCTATCAAGAGTAATTTTTTGCACTAAGAATCTCAACCAAAGCTTTCAGAATCTTGGTTTGGTCACAAGTTGAAGAGATGAATAGTGTTTAGAGAAAAAGAGGGAGAGAAGGGAAGAGGGAGGGGAGAGATTTACTCTATGTGACCACACTGGGTAAACACAAACAAGGGGCCACTGGTCCCTAAATCTATCACCAAAATATTGGCATGGGAGATTTAGATTCAAAGAAAGAGAAAAACGTATGCATGATTGAGCCATTTTGGTCTGGTGTGATTCTGCACATCATGGATTCATCAATGTCTCAGAAACTAGAAGGTGGTCACCCTGCAAGGTGGTCCTATAATTGTTAAATTGTTCATCTTTTCACCCATCACAAAGAAAGGAGCCCAGCCCTCACAAAAAGTTCTCCTCCTGTAAGAGGTAATTATTTTATCCCTCTAGATTTTCCTCTTCTGGGATTCAACATCCCTCAAGAGGAAATGTTAAGGACAATAACTTAGCTCTTTACCTTCAGGCTAATTACAGACATAAATGAAGGCTTGAGATGTCAGGCTTTCTTCCTGCTTCAGTTACCTCGTGGGCAAAAAGTGAAGTCAGTGTTTTCTTAACAAGAGCTAAGAGCTGTTTCCACATCCACCAGCGCCACCAACTGGGGCACATGCGTTCAGACACATGATTCCATTACGGACATTTCAGATACAAGCATATAATAGTTAGTTAGCAAATAGGAATAAATCTTCAATGAATCTGTAGGCAGATGTTTCTGTGAACATAAGTTTTCAACTTCTTTCTGAAAATACCAAGGGATATGATTGCTTCATTCTATAATGAAAGTTAAGTTTTGCAAAAGTCCACTCTTCATAAAGGGTGTTAGCCTATTTGAATTCACATGACTTGCTCCAGTTTCTCACAAGCATTGAGTGCTGTCAGGAACACACATGTTGTTCAACTTAATAACAGTAATATTTCATAATTGATTTCGCTTGCTTTTCCAGAATGACACAGCATATTTTAAAAAATTTCTAACCCTATAGGCAATCTGTAAATTTTCTTGGTAAAGACCCTGACAGAGTCTTTGACCCAGTCTTTCACTGTGTCAATTTTCATGCTATTGGTTTTAAAGATATTTGATTAGGTATTGCATATTCTTTCTGAGTCTATGGATCAGCTTCCTGTTCTATTCATTTTCTCTTTCACAGAGCAGAGATTTTCACGTTTCATGAAGTTCAAAGGTGCTAGTCAGCTTTCTCTCACTATGACTAAATATCTGAGTAAACCAACTTAAAGGAAAGAAAGTTGATGCTGTTTATAGTATCTGGGAATTCAGTCCATGGTCAGCTGGTTCTGTCGCTAAGACTGTAATAAGGTACATCACCACAGTGCAAATGGAAGGCAGAGCAAAGATAATCACTGCATTATTAAGCCAAATACACAGACAGACAAAGAGACAGAAAAACAGAATTCACCATCAGAGGGTTGCTTATGAATGACCTGTGTCTTCCAACTAGGCCCCACTTCCTAAGGCTTACCTTATCTCCCAGTAGGAACACCAAATGCTATTAATACCCTTAGCATATTACTTTGGGGTAG